ACAAAAGAAATTATGAGAATGGAACAAGAGTGAGAACACAGAGTAGTAGTGCAATATACTCTTATATTAACTCAATTTTAGCTGAAGAATTGCAAAATTGCTCATTTACCTTAGCACAAGATGTAGGTTCTAACATTCCTAAATGTTTCATTGCCAACTTTTCCAAGACTCAGCAGGTGGAATTACACATGCAGAAATGAAAGCACTGGTGTTCTATAAACGATTAAGTAGGAAGTAAGATGGATTCCCTTTCTCTGTTGTCAAGGGCACTTAAAATTTGAACCTGTGCTTGTAAGACTGATGCATAATTTTTCTTTCTTTGGGTCAGTTTACTGTGAGTTCAGAAGGGACCTGGGGACGCATCTATTCCTCATTCTGAAAGCACAGCAGTTAGTGCAGGTTGCTCAGGGTCATGTCCAGTCAGGTTTTTAATATCTCCAAGGATGGAGACTCCATAACCTCTCTGAGCAACTTGTTCCAGTGTTGAGCAACTCTGACAGTAAAAAAAAAAAAAAAATGAAATTTTTGCATGGTGCCTCTCGTCCTGTCACTGGGGGAGTCTGGCTCTGTCTTCTTTGCTCCACCAATCAAATATTTAACACAAGGATAGGATGTCCCTGAGCCTTTTACTCTCCAGACTTAGCAGATTTCTGCAAGGATAGGAAGTGTTACTAAGATATTTTTGTATTTCAGTTTTTAAAAAAGGAAGGGGTGAGGGAAGAAATTGAATGTTATGGGTCTTGTAATGCTGTGCTGTAAGTTCTGCAGTTATTTTTAACCCCACATGTTATAGACATTTGTAAGGATTTATTTGCTCTGTGCTGCACTGATGTGCATAGGGAGTCAGACTGGCCATGGGAGAGCTAACTTTAACCAAGCCTCCCAAAACCAATCTCATCAAAGGTCTTCTTGTATACAAAGATGCACAAAATTATGTCAAAGGTTTCTATGAAGCAATGGCAGTATCTTTATTGACAATTATTCACTTTGTGACCGTAGAGAGACTTCTAGGGACATCAGAATTTTATAATGTTGATATCTGTGTTTGAGACCAGGGAGTGAAGATGTACCTGGCTGATCTCTCCTGCCCTGTCAGGTATCATTTGGTCTAGTCTGGCTACAAGAACTCAGTCAGACAGTCTTACTAAATATACCACCTGGTGGCTGCTACAGAGATAAAGGGCCACGTTTAGAATTATTTTGAGGTCTGCATATTATAGTTTCTTCGGCAGGAGAAGCACTAAAAAAAAAAAGTCCTTAATATCCCACCAGTCCAGTGTGCCCTCAGGCTTAGTGAACAAGAACTACCTTCCCAGCTCAAAAAATGTACTTAGCTGAAGGGTATGCCTAAAACCTGAGCAAAGATTGACTTCCAAGATAAGATGCTGCAGGAAGAAAATCACACTTGCTATCTGTACTTGACAGGATAACTTGAAGTTGTGTGAATGTCTTCATCCAAATACCTTGATACATTGCTTAGCCAGCAGTTTGAAAACATTTGAAACAGAAATAAATGCAGGTTGGAATGTGCTTTCACAGGAGGGACAGTTTGAACAGCCTCCTTAGCATTCAGGTGACTCCAGTACTGAGGTGCTGTCTCTGTTCAGGTCAGGCAGAGTGATGTGGTGCTGTGTGAACCCCCTGAATGCCTCGTGGGGTGGGAGGCTCTCCTGGCTGGGCCTGGGGAAGACATTTCCCATTATTTGCCTTCATTCAAGTAAGATGTTAGGGGAAAATTTTGGCTGCATTCATTTAGAGCTATACTTAAATGTACAATTTCTTCAAAGGGCTGTGTGTTTATTTTCAGTTGTGCTGTAGTTCAAGTTAGCAAAACTTTAAAAATAACTGCAAATGAATACAGCTGAAAATACTCTGAGAACTAATTTTATATTTTGCATGTTCAGCTAATAAAACTGAGTGGCACATTATATTAGTACTCTTGCACTTTATTCAGTGAACATTACTTTGTGTACAATAAATTTAATTTTTTCCCCTGACTATTTACACAAGTTTTTGTCTTTGTTTTGTATGAAATGCTTAAGTGAAACAGAAAAGTGTGTGACTGTGAAATTAAGAAAAAGTTGTGTGAGAATTAGATTCAATGAGAATGGTGAAAAATTCCTCTGAAATTTGGTAGAATTTGTCCCTATAAATTGTGCAAGTTCCCAGTCTTATTTTAGAGCATCGTTTGTAGGCGGTCTAAAAAATATAAAGAAGAAAGGGATTGGTTATGTCTTACAAACTGTAGCAGAGTTGTATTTGACAGTAAGGCTTTATATGCACTGTTAGTTACTGTACATTTAATACAAAGAATTTAGAGAAAGCCAATGCTGTATCAGCAGAGCTCAGAGCAGGCACCATCAGCTTTAGCATCTTCCTTTGAATGTGTACAGTCAAAGCTGTGCTGTGTTTTCAGTGGATTTGCTTTGGGAGGAGGAGTCAGAGACTGCAGACTCAGAGCCAAAGACTGGGCTTCCCTGTACAGGGGAAGGTTTTTCAGGATTTAGGATGGATGAGGAAGACTGGGAGAGAAGTGACATGTCAAGCTGAGTCCATTAGGTGCAAGTTGTAGTCCAAGGATTGTAGCTGCAGTAAGTTCCCCGGCTGCAGTGATGGTGAAGAGAACTCATCGGTTGTTAGCCCATATTTTCTGTTGTAGTGCAGGACAAACATTGACAGCACTCAGTCACCTCCAGAGTTTATAATATCTTGAGCTGGGGGTTCAGATTAAAAGAGTGATACTTGTGAATCTGGGGAAACTAGTGACAACAGAATTTCATTGGCTTGTCCTTTGGTATTTTAGCTGAAGGAATATGCTATGTCTCCTTCTGCTTGGAGAAGTTTAGTTTTTATTTCTCTCTGAAACAAGTCCCCACCTGCACTAGGTGTACTGCTTTGTTCTGAGCTTGTAACACCATATGAAACGGTTCTTGAAAAATATCACTGTTGCTCTGAGTAAATGTACTGCTGTGACTTAATGCAGCTGAAATTCATAGTCACTGCTTGGAATGTAATGTAACGTAAGAAACATGTACTGGTGCTGCTAAAAATGTACCATTTGTGAAACTGTAGGTTTTTGTGGAAACTTGGCAGCAGATGAAAGCATGCACATACAAATACCTGCTCTGATGGAAAAACTTAGGGTTTAAAGCTAAAATTCGGTGAGCTCAGAAGCTGAGAGTGCTTCTGTAGTGCTAGTGCCTGTATTATATGCATCTAGAATTTTCTTTCATTGTCATACTAAGTGCATCATTGAGTGATGTGTTATTTTGTGTTAGTTAGTTCTAAGATAAGAGAGCAGTAGAGAGGGACATAGCAGTATCCTGCATTATGAAGACTGCCCTGTTAAATCTCTGATATTTGGTTTAATATTTTCAGTGGGGATGAAGGATTCTTTGCTTTTGAAGCTATAACTGTTGAAATATATTCATTCCATGGACTTCAGAGCTGGATTGTGTAATGTTCCCCTGCATCTTTAAAAACAAACAAACCATTTGTATTTAAGAGATATTCAGGAGACAATGACAGAAATGTAAGAAACAAAATGACAACAGCTAGCTTTGGGCAAAAATGCACAATAGATAAATTTTCTTTTTGTTGTATTTCGTAGCTAATATGCTCTGAAGCAGTCATTGTTTATATATTATGCACAGGGCTTGAGTGAACACATATGCTGTAGTTCAGCACTGTGTTTCTCAGAACTTCCAAATGCAAGTCTTAAAACTCCTTGTGCATTTCGTTATGTGCACCTGAGAATATAACGATGTGTGTATTCAGAGGGTAAATTAAAAACAAATGTA